TAATTGATACAATTCAAAAACAAAATCAGATTCGTCAACTCGAGTACAATTCCTAGGAATGGGGGTGGAGCCGCACCTGTGGCAACAGCGTAGAAGCATTGGCAGAGTTGCTGTCGCGATCGGCCTGGAGAAGTGTCGCAAATGAAGAAAACAACACCCTCTAGTGTAGTTAGACAGTTTCTTGGCACCGGAAAAAGGCCTAAAAACATAACATTAGAGCTAAACTGATGATGAAAACGTTTTTATAATATTGTAAAGTATAAATATGAAAATTTAAATATCATCATTTACTGCTTGATCTTTTTCAATCAAAGGAAAATAAAACGCGTAGAGCATCTCATCTTAATAAAAAGTTTTATTAAGATGAAAACGTATAGGTGAGATGAGATCAGCTCCAGTCTTCTCGCTTGTCGTTCTACAGTATTTTGACTTGCATTCTTTTTTGCTTTTGTCTTACTCATTTAAAATCTATTTGTTGTCCAAATGTATTATAATATATTGGTTTGACACACCTTCTTTACTTGTATGTTGTTTATATTCTTTATTTGTGAACCCTTTTAATACTCATTAGTCTTTTGATAACCTAAATCACAAAAAATCCATCGACAAAATCATCAAGGAATTCGTTGCATCTGCTCGTAGACGCGCCCCAGTGCACGAACACATACGCGGATACACATACAACATACACATATACACATATATGCACGTTCGCGGACGACAGGGTGTGAGTATTGTCATAGGAGGCGGTGCGGTCTGCTGCTTCGACATATCCTGTCTTCAAGGTCACATTGTCAATGAAGTGCTGCACTTGCATAACTTGGATGTGATTACTATGAGTGGAAAAATATTACTGTACAATAAAACATAAAGCAAGTGTACAGATAAAATTTGCCTTGCTCCTTATAGACATCCTCTAGTATCAGTAGGAATATAAATTGATTGAATTTTCCTCTGATCATTGACTTTTTACGTGCCAACACTACTAATGCTTGTACGAGTAACACATGTACCGGCAATGAAAACCTTTGTGATAAAGTATAAAACTAAATAGTAATGCAATCTTACTAAATTCATTAATTTTTTATATGATAAATCAGGCGGGTAAAAAAAAAGGATTACTGTTTTATATTTATTTACACAGATCACATGCCTGTACAACAGTGGGATTAAGCCAGTGCTCAATCAATATGCTCAGAACATAACAACTTGAAAAGAAATGACTATGTCAGAAACAGTATTATAACAGGTAATGGAAGAATGTAGTTGAAGATTTGCACATGTGTACAGCTATTTAATACAATTATGTTGCTATATTTCTTTTCCATTCTTTGTTAACTATATAGTATTCCTGAAAATACCATGAATTCTAAGTTGAGTCTGCAATTCTATGGTTAAAAGACTTACACAACTATTTTACACAATATATGCTTTGTTTCTAAATGTCACTGAATTATAACAAATTAATAACTATAAAGATGTTCTATACAGTTCTACACTCTATCTTCATTTACTTTCCTAGCATCATAAATAAACCCTACTGCTCTGCACTATAAAATACTAGTAAATGAATAATTGCTATCATATTTCACCCCTATTCCCTTAATTTATACCTTTGTATACAAGTACAAACAAACTTATGGTCAGGCACAACTCGTATCAATAAAAGTGGCAGTTTTCAGACTTAGGTGCTATGTTGAAATGTACATTTTTTATGCAAAAAGTATTTGCCCCAAATGTCTGTGCAGCTGAAATAATTACAGTGGTTAATATCTGTGCATATCACAAAGGGAGTAAATGTTCTGCACACATATCCTGTAAAACGACTATAAAGATACAATAATTATCGCTAAAAATACAAGACACTTTCAATACTTGGGGTAGCATAGAGGAATAACTTGATTTGCTTATGGTGTTATTTCTGTATTTGCCATGAGCTGGTTCTACAGTCATATGTAATTAACTAACAGGCAAAGTAGCATAGAGGAATAACTTGATTTGCTGGTTGGCAATCCAAAAGACAGTAGATAATATCTTTTGATATTTATTCATTATATGCAACTGTGTGTAAAGACAGAGATGAATACACAATTTCACTAATATATCATAGTCAAATTTTTATTGTCAACTTCAAATAAGCCACAGTGTTTAGCTACAGTAAAAATGGTAATGCTTTTAACTGAATAGGTCACTAACAGTCCTACTACTTACTAAATGATAACAATCTCTTTCTGGAATCCATCCATGGAGTGTAGACCATAGTATTGTATCAAAGAGGCTGCAAAATACAAGAAACACACAGAAAATATATTCTGTAAATATATAAGAGCTACAGACACACAATTACAATATATATATATATATATATATATATATATATATATACATATATATATATATATATATATATATATATATATATATATATATATATATATATATATATATATATATATATATATATATATATATATATATATATATATATATATATACACATTTCTATGGTTTCAATTCTGTTAACTTTAATCAACAAAACCATATTATTTACAAATTATTTAGGTTTTATACTGCTTTGAATATAGTCAACACATTATGTTACCATCATCAATAAGAGGCATTACTTGTATGGCTGAAAATGGGCACAACCATCAAAAATAATCTTCAACATTCATTTGAAAAAACTGGACATTTAGACAAATCCGGCCTCAAGCAAACATTCCTTTATCCTGGGGTAGAGTTTGCATGTGAAATCTTACTACTGAAGCAACAGTCATCTGCACTGTGTCATACAAAGTTTATACTTTCATTAATGGTACTGATTTACTAATGTTTCATAATGCATTGGCATAAATCTAAATGTGAACAAAAATAATGATCTTTTCTAGCTAAATATTAGATAATGCATAACAAACTCTTCTAGTTCTACTGCATATTTGTATATCTAAAGCTAGCCTCTATGTTGACTACCCATGCATAGGGCTCAAACACGCACACCCACACGCACATGCAAATGTGCACACACACACATACACACACATACTGTATGTATTATCATGTATTTAAAACTGTTTCTTATCTTTACTATAGTCATGTTCCATTGCATAATTATTTTCTACCACTGGTTAGGTCCTGCTAGTTTCATAATGATCCTGATATGTCGCCTCCATGTCTGACAGACAGAGAGGAGAGAGGAGAAGAAGAAGAAAAAGAAAGCAAGCACCATATCTTGTTACAAATGAGTATTTAAATGACTGACCTTATCATTAGTCTACCAAATTACTGTCCAGAGCCTGCTTGCAGACAATTTGTTTTAGGTGAGTCTATTCATATGCTGATGTACAATGCTTTTAAAATCTAACTTGCACTGTGCATGCATTTGATTATTAATTACTTATCCTCATTATTGTTCACAATGGCCAGCCAGTTTAATGAAGGATATATGTAGCATGAGATGATTTCCGTATTGAAAACACTTTACTTTGAAATATTGATTCTTGTTTAGCTGTCTCCGTGCTATGATGCAAGTAGGGGTCCTAAACAAACTGGGACTTCTGTCTGACAGATTCTGTCTGATTTCTGTCTGGGCAAGCCAAAATTCTGGGTTGGGTGGGCACTGTTAGAGCAAAGAGGTCCTTTCCCAGAATAGAATTACAAAATTCTCTGTAATTGGAAATGTACATTTATATTACTGTAAAATGAAGTATTCAATGGCTATCACTTCCTTCTCCAAGAAAATGAGAAATGTATGTTGACGTTGCACTGCTACAAATGGTTTTTGATAACGTTTCAACTGTACCTGGCACTACAATAGCCTGGTAAAGCAAGTAATACAGTCCCTTTATCACTTGATCTTCAATGTGGATATGTGCAATGATAGCCTAATCAAAATAAGGATTGCAATTGTTTTCACAGGCTTATTTAATTTAGTGTGTTAATATTAGGGGGATGATCACATTTGTCCCCTCACTTCAAACCTGTATCCTATGGCCAAGATGTGTACAAATACTTATATAAACAATAAAATAAAATAAAATAAATACTAGTTTTAAATTTCCCAGTTTGTATAATATATTGTTCATGTATCAGTATTTTTCTGGTGCCTGTAGTGCCTGAGTTGCCTTGGCCCTTGATCCCTCTGTGGATAACCTTATCTACATGTAAGCTGTTATTAACAACTTCACATGTATGTAAACACACCTACACAAACAGACACATGTACACACGCATACAAATACACATGAAAACTGTCTTTTTTATCTTCCATACTGCTGTTTGTTTAATATGTTAAAGGCCATCACAAGCAACAAAGTGAGTGAAGATCTAAAAATCCATCTACATTTTGCATCAGTGAGACAACAGACTTCCAAGACATCACTTAACCCACTGATTTCTACACAGTATGTATTAGAAACAATTGGCAGAATCATTACCCACTTATCAAATTGCTTCCGAACAACCACATTTGGTAACATAACTCTTCCTTAATATTTATGATAAAAAGATAATTATAATTGTTTCTTGATATGTACATTAATGAATTACCTGTAAATCTAGAATATCGTGGAAGGTAAACAGTATGTACTTCTGAAATAAAAATATTCAAGTGTTCTTTATACATTTTCATATCATGATTTGATCTTAATAATAAGGACAAGCATTCACCATTAACACCTGCATGCCACTAAAAATAATACTAATATCAATATTGTGCATTAATTATTGCAAAAACATTTTCCCCCAAGTAGCACCTGTCATAGACTCCTCTCTTTCTTCTTTAAATATATGGATCATGTGTCATATCAAATCAATTATACATCAAAATCCAGTCACTAATCAGGCAATGATTTTGGCAGGCAAAAAGCTAAACTTCAGACATATTTCACTGCATATGGAATAAGATTTAGTTATACAGAAAGGCTGGCCATGTTACACAAAATATTGCATAATACTCCTCAGTAATGCTGACAGGCCTAGGAGTGAAATTTGTACCAAAGATA